TCGTGCACAGCCACTTACTGAGGCTTAGTCAGAGAACACAACACACATCCATCCATCCATCATACCCTAGAGCAGCTACTGTCCTGTGGCTCACTCCAGAAACTGCCCTTTTCTCTCCTGGTTCCATGGTTTTCTGCCTTGACTTTCAGTTAAATTTCAGTGTTCTTCAGCCACATTTCTCCTTTAAATCTATTAAGGCACTGTGAGTTGTCCATAGTTGGTATTTGACATAGTGTACCATCACCAGGCCTGACATTCGCACCCACTCTCCCCTCCCGTCCGCAGGCTCCCGCCTCCTCCCTCCCCTCCCTAGTCCCAGCCTGCCCTCTTGACAGTTGCCTTTCTGAGTTCAATTAAATAAAGTTTGGATCTCGTGATTTCCGTGTCGTATCCAAACCCTTTGGTTTGGATGTGGAGCTCTGTCATTCCTTAACAATGTCATTGACCCCTCACCCCTGCTCCCTTGCTTCTCATCTATTTCCTCTCCCCTCCCCTTCACTATATTTCTCTTCTCCTCCCATTCTCTGGGGCCAGTGGTGATCTGGTCACATCCCTTAAACATTGCATTTCTTCATCCAGTTATTCTAAGTACCACAAATAAGTGATGTCATCCTGTGTTTGTCCTTCTGGCTTACTTCATCTAACATGGCATCTTCCAGTTCCATCCGTGTGGTGAGGTGTGGTGAGATGTGATGAGAGAGGAGCTCTGTGCCCAGCTGTGGGAAAGTTTGCTGGAGCAGCCCTGTGGAAAACAGTATGGAGGGTTCTTGGTAAACTTAGAATTGATCATGATTTTATTTGTAACTTGTCTTTTCCATAAAATCACTTGAAAGATGAGCCTCTGCGGTATTAAAACTATAAAATCCTTATACTAAAGTGATTTTCCCTTAGGGAAGATAAAACCTTTAAAATTATTAAAACTCTTGCTGGTTATGCAGAATAAAACAGAATTTTAGGGAACAGAAAATCAAACTTATTGGTCTACTTTTGATTTGAAGTTAAGATAGTTTATATGGTCTGTAAAATTTCATGAGTTTTATGTCTGCTCTTTTGAAGAAAAAAATTGCCATTCAAGATTTTTTTTCTTATTCGTGTTTATTCTGATTCAGTTCTCTAGCCAGTTCTTCTTAGATTGAATAAAATGAATAAAGGGAATCATCATAAATCTAAAAGCAATCATGTTTAACCAGTGGTAATGAGGGAGAAGAAAATCACTATTCATTCTGAAAGCCCTTTTCTAAATGCAGAGGGGCAATAGACATTACTAAAACCAAGAACTCACATTAATAACTCACATAAAAAGGGGTATGTTTTAGCATGAGTTTACATCTAATATCATTATTAGTGGGTGTTAATGGAGATAAATTACTAAGGAGGAAAATTTTAAAATTAAAATAAACAGTTATTGTTGTAGGTGTCACTATGAATTATGCTGGATTTGATAATAATTATGCAGTTTTCTCCCCACAATATTAATATGTTAACATTAATGAGACTAACATTAATAAAGTGAAAGGTGATTAATTTCATCTTTATCTGAACATTGATATCTTATATAATTGTATCTGTCAGTTGTGTTTTATATATACCATTTATTATTCTTAACATTTTTTTAGTTTGTAATTTCATCACTTCTTATAATCTTTGCTGAAATTATTGCTAATTTTTAAGTAGTAAAGTCTGATAAGATTTAGTACTTACCAAGTTAAGCATTTGACATGCTTCTGTACATCTGGGGTTATTGGTTTTCTTTCTGTTTTTAGAAATATATTAGGGAGCTGGAGTGATAGTGGGACATTTACATTAAGCAGGGCTGACCCGGGTTTGATTCCCAGCATCCCATTTGAGCACCTCCAGGACTAATTCCTGAGTGCAAAGCCAGGTGTAACACCTCTGCATCGCTGGGTGTGACCCAAAAAGCCAAAAAAGAAAAAGAAATACATTAGATTTTCTGTCGTGTTCTTAACTAGAGAATGGAAAATGTTCTGACTTTCAAGCACCCTGGGTGAATAGGGAAATCTGGGCATGGAGCAGGAAAGACTCACTGAGGACTAATTTCTAGGCTTTCTGTTCTATAAATTGCAGTTCATTTGTAAAAACTGGGAGTTAAAGCATATCTGCTTATAAATTTAGGGGGGACACTGGTGCTTGCTCATACACCTGGGTTATCCATTTGGCACCCTCAAGGAGGCAGGACCATATTCACCCACTCCTGAGTGGGTCCTGCACCAGGGCACTGTGGCAAGCAGGCCCCTCTGGCCTCTCTGCACCCCATCAGTCAGCCTCTGGGGTCTCGCTTGTTGTTTCCTTGTTTTTACCCAGATTGCTGCTCTGGGAACTGTATGTTTTGCAATTCCATGATGGAATGTGATTTAGAACTCAAGTGCATTCTCACCTAACACTTTAGAGTCCCCGGGGAAGTGGCAAGCACAGCTCTTTTGAATCTACCCACCTGTCTTCTAGAAAGCCAAGTTGTTGCAGCTTTGGTCTCTGGATGCCTTGGGTGCCCAGATGCTCTCACCCACCCTCTCTGCCTCTCCCCTCCACCTTCCCCTCATACGTGCCAGCACTGGTGACTTTCCCCAAGCTTACGGTGCCCACAATAGGACACCCTCATCTCAAGCACATTCTTTTACAAGAAGCAGATCCTGGGGTGCCAGGGGTCAAACTCAGGCAGCCACTGTAAGGTTAGCCCTAGCCAGTGTACTATCTCCCTAGCCCCAAAGTGCATGTGCTTCTTAAGTGTTTTATTATTTCTAACTTTTGGACTGTATTTTTGTAAAAAGGACATTTTAAATTTTATTTCTCTTTAAAAAACAGGTGCTTTATCACAATTTGCATTTTTTTCTAATATATATTCTAATTTAGTTTATTAGTTCTGGATGTTTCAATGATATTAAAATTTATGGTAAATTTATGGTAAAATTTATATAAAATTTTACCACCCACCCTACTACCAAAGTGTCCATGACCCTCCACCTCTGATTTTCCCTGATTCCTACTTGGTTATTGGTTCTGTATTCCAGAGTTAAGGCTTTGCCATTATTCAGTACCGTGTGTGTTCATATTTTGGCTCACTGTTCCATAGTTGAGTGAGATCATCCTTCGTTTGTTCTGCCTCTGAATAACTTTGCTTAACCCAGTACCCTCTGGTCCCACCCGTGGTGCAGGGAGCTGCATGATTTCATGCTTTCCTACAGAGGCATGCTATTCTGTTGTGTGTGTGTGTGTGTGCACTCTATTCATCTGTGGATGGGTTATTTCAAGCCTCATTGTTTGGACTAAGAGCTGCAGTGAACATGGTTGTGCCTGTGTCCTTTTGAATCAATGTTTTGTGTTTTGAGGGTAGATGCTGAGAAGTAGAAAAGCTGAGTCCTGTGGAGAGGCTTGTTCTCCAGGGGGACTTGGGGAATTCCACCCCCAGCAGTGCTCCGGGCTTACTGGGCTCTGTACTTCTGGATCAGTCTTAGCAGAACTTCAGGGGTCAGATGTGGAGCCAGGGATTTAACCTGGGTTGACTTGCATGCCAGGCAAGCACCTTACCCCTTTTATTCTTACCCCTTTTATTCTTCTTACATTTTTGAGAAATATTCATGCTGTTTTTCCATACAGGTCTAGCCAGGTGACAGTCCCAAGAGTTAATGAAGTTTCCTCTGTTATCACATTCCCGCCAGTACTGGTTGCCCCAGTCTCTTTCTCTGGTGTGACTTGGCATCTCCTTGTTGCTCTGATCTGCCTTTCCCCGCTCACAGGGGTCCCCGTCTCTGGGGCAGTGTCTGTTCCTGCCCTCTACTCACTTGGGAGGAGGGTCACTGAACTGCTGCTGCTGAGATTTGAGTGCTATGCAGACCTCAGCCTTTCCCCACGTATGCAAGTGTTTTCTCCTATCCAGTAGGATGTCTTTTTGTTTCTGCTAATGGCTTTTGCTATGCAAAAACCTTTCATGGATTCTATTTTATCTTTGGATTCCCTTTCCCTCTGTGGCTGTCAGGGGCCACTCTTGCCTGGCCTTGATTATTGCACATGGGGTTGGGGGCTGTGGAGGTTGTATGGTTCAGTTTCAGGCATGCCACCAACTGGGTTGCAGGAGAGCACTCACTTGCTGTGGCACCAGGAATGCCGTGACACAGGTGTCCAGGCCACCCTGTGCACTTGGGAGGTGCAGCAAGGCCCACCTGCCTCATGTCCTCACCCCTATATGCTTTTTTAAGTCCACAAAGTATTCATAAATCTGTTTTAAAAGAGTGTTTTAGACCAAACTTGATTGCCACTCAATGCCTCTCTTGCAAACCACAGGACCCAAAAGGAGAGAGAGAGAACAAAAGGGAATGCCCTGCCACAGAGGCAGGGTGGGATGGGGGGATGGGGGGGTGGGAGGGATGCTGGGACCCATGGTGGTGGAGGATGGGCGCTGGTGGAGGGATGGGTACTTGATCATTGTATAACTGAAACCCAAGCACAAAAATTTGTAAGTCTATAACTGTACCTCATGGTGTTTCACTAATAAAAAATAAAAATAAATAAAATGTTAAAAAAAAAGAGAGAGTGTGCTAATAGCGTTTGAGAAGTCCAAATAGCTTCCTTATAACCTTTGTACTAATGCAATGCACTGATTGCGAAAACAAATTGAACAAGAATTAAAAATGAATTATTCTTGTTCCTGTTAGTAATAGGAACTTATATGGAGCTGGGGGGTGGGGGTAGTTTCTTTGGGAAATTGAGTGGTGTCGTTTTCAAACCTGCAGGGTACCATGCCACCTTTGTCCACTCAGGCAGCTGTGGGTATGCATTTTGTTTATGATAGAAATTTTTCAGTGTAAGTTCCCATGCATCCTTTTCCAGGATTGTTTATCACCCAAAACTTAGGTTTCCCATGCACCCTGGATGCCAACTTTAGAGTGAACTCACCAGCAGTCACAGACGTGTCTGTGTGTCTGCTTCCCTCAAGTGCTGTGTTTGCCCCTGCTCGTGCTGAATCTTCCTGTTCTTTGTGTTCACAGTGTCTCAGTTTGAAACTGAATTCTACATCAGCGGACTTGCGCCTCTCTGCGATCAGCTTGTTGTGCTCTCCTATGTGAAGGAGGTTTCCGAGAAGACGGTAATTCACCGTGGGAAGTGCAGATTTCCTGTGAGGCCCATTCCAGGTTGTCCTGGAAGGAGCCACACGGTAGTCTGAGCAGAGTGCCCTGCCTGGACAACAGCATTCCAGAGATTACCCTGGACATTAGAATAGTGACTTTTCAGAACCTCCACGCGTGACCTGCCTCTGTTACCCTCTCTAAGCGGAGGAGTCTTTGTTTGTTGTTTTGGGGTTTTCCCTCCCTCTTTTATCCATTTCTCTTGGTATTTTAGTTGAAAGGAATGAGCACTTCCTCTTGCTGAGAGAAGAAGGAACTAAGCTGACACTGCATTAGCACAATGACAGCATTGGAGTTGATCTGCGAGCAACAGGGGTCCCTGTGGCCAGAGCGAATTACAGAAAAGGCAGTTCATTGCTTCCTGTGGGACAGACAGATTTGTTTGCTTCACACTGGTCTGGGATTCTGGGATGCTTGATTATTGCTTGTTTATTTCCAATAAATGATTGCAAAGTCTCTGTTACCAGTACAAAGGTGGTATACAGTAGGGCTAATAGGATTCAGCATCTGAGTCACGTTTCCTCAGCTTTGTTATCGCCTATGTAAGATTTTCCAAATGTTATAGGCAACTCTCAGAGATCAGCTGTGTGTGATTTTGAGTGAAGGCTGATAGGTTGACCATGGCAGGAGCATTGCCCTCCTTACCCCTTTGAAGCCCAGGTCAACCCATTCCAGCTTGTCTCTATGATTCCAGCCCCGAGGCCCTTGCTGGGGTGGTGGTGGTGGGGGAGGGGAGGTACCGACTAGGAGAGCAAATTGGAAAGGATTTTCTTGTGGGTGCTGTATATAAAAGAAATTGCAATTGATTGACTAGCCCTTACAGTAATAGGCTCTCTTCCCCTGCATCCTCCTTCCTCTTACTGTTTCTTTTCACATGACCTGGAAGGAGAACCAGGAGGAGAAACCCTGGGAGCCCCCTTTTGAAGTGCTAGCTGCTCACCAGCGGTGGTCTGAGCAGAGCCAGTGCTTGTGTTGGGAAGCCATTGCTATAGTAACCCAGAGCTCCGGCGCCCATGTTGCTAGGCAATGGGATGCTGAGGACTTAAGTGAACACTCAGACCTGCTAAAATCAATAGGGCTGGTTTCTAGCCCTGGTGCAGGACATCAGTTTATTATTATTTTTTTTATTTTTTTATTTTTTTGAAAGGCAGTGGCTCCTGGGGGAGTAAATACAGTGCCTTTTGATGAGAAATGTGGGGAGGATTGAGACTGTGATTGAAAGACATACGGAAAGGAGCAGTAAAATGGGAAGGCGGGAAAAAAACCTAATAAACAGTGACCAAGAAAAAAATGAAGGAAGAGAGGAAACGTTTGTTAATAAAAGAATATTAGAAAGGGATAACAACTAAGGAAGGCTACATCTATGGAATAAATTAGAAAGTGGAATATTTCAGAGGAATAAGAGAGGGTCTTAGAGATGTGTTAAAGATATGGGCTCCAGTACTTATAGCTGTACATGTTATATAATGCCAGGGATACCTCAGATACTCTGAGTGGACTCAAAAAATCAAGACAAAAGCAATCAAGAGGCAAACTTGGAACTAGCTGCCATCCCCAGCCCCCACTTTTTCCATACTGAAAATTGTTTAGCTATGGCATGAAGAAAAATTTTTCTCAGTATTTCTCATATTTTCCCCGAGTATTTTTCCTGTTAAGCCTTGGGCATACACGTTTCCACATATGTCACAGTCACCAGCTCATCTGGGTTGTCCTCATTCAGGAGTCCTACTCCCCCCTAGGCTGTGTCATCTTCCATTGTTGTGGTTTGTGGTGCTTCTACCTCTTTACCCTGGCTGCTCTGTCCTGACTCAGGAACCTGTGCTCCTGAGCTGTTTTCCTTTCATCCATTACTGAAGCCTGTGTGTTAAGACTCATGCTGAAGTCCTGGGGAACAGAGATGGACAAGACCAAGTCTCCTCTGCTCGGAATGTCCCTGACACCCAGCACTCCTGACCGGGAACAGAGTGTAGAGTAGCAGAGACCCATGAGCTGCTCCTTGGGTTCCCGACACCGGAAGGAGCTCATCTGCAGGACCAGTAGCCACGTCAGCAATGGCTTCATGATGGTTTCGTTCATGTGTCTCTCATGCCACTGTCATAGCAATCTCTTTCCTTTCTTTTACCCAGTTCTCCAGACCATGAGTCTGTCAACATCTTCTCAGTGCATGAAAGGCCCTGGAGATAAAGAGCTCCTTCCAGCCCCTCTCTCTGTGGCCTCTTCCAGTCCCTCCCTCCCTCCCTCCCTCCCTCCCTCCCTCCCTCTCTCTCTCTCTCTCTCTCTCTCTCTCTCTCTCTCTCTCTCAGTTTAAATTTTCAGTGTCAAAATCTCCATGTTTTCCTGTTATTTCAAAATTGAGATTTCTCATTTCTTTAGCTAACTGATAAACTATACTATAGAGTCTGGGTTTCTTTTTTCTTCCACAAATTAATCTTTTATGGTTGCCGTTTAATTTTGGAACTGTTTTAAATATATGAGGTGCAAAGCTAGTGCATTCTTTCTCAGTTAATCTACCAAAGTCTATTGAAGAACTCTGGAAAGCTGCCTCCAGAAATCTGTTGAACTGAGCATAACTCTGGATTTTTCCATCGTGCTCTTTGCATTTTTGTTCCCTGCTGCTTCACCGTACTGTTTCAGGTCTTGTTGCTTTGGAAAATACTCAGATGTCTGTTTTCTGCTGGATGCTGAGTCCTCAAAAAGCATGAAATAAATAAACTTGATTTCAAAGCCGAGATTCTAAATTAAGCCCCACCTTTCTACAGTTCAGCCTCTTCATTCACTGAAGTAGCTTTGTCCTTAATGTCACATTTTTAAAATTTTATTTTATTGAATCACAGTGAGATAGTTACATAATTGGGTTTCTGTTATATATTATGACAACACCCATCCCTTCACCCTTCACCAGTGTACATTTTCCACCACCAATGTCTCAAGTGTCCTTTCCACTCTGCCCCTCACCCCACTTACCTCTGTGGCAGGCACCCCTCTCTCCCTCCCACCCCCTCCACTTTTTTGTGCTCAGTTCTTTTATTTGTGAGTGGACAATAATGATTTTTTAAAAAATAAGTATGAACTCAGTAAGATCAGTCTGTAGCACTGGCATAGGACCTCAGTAGATCATGTCTCTCGATCTAGAGCTCCACTTTCAAGAACAATAGCCCTTAGTTATTGTATGTGTTTATTTAAATAAAAATAATGCTTCAGTCACACAAGTCCCAAGTCAGGAGTTGCCTGCAATTCATATCTGTCACACTGTGCCAAAGTTCTTTGGGACCTGTTCATCATCTAGGCAAATCATGCTTTAGGCAGACTCATTGTTTTGCACTTCAGCATGACCAATGTTGGCTGGTAGTTTCCTCTTCCTCTTGGCTTAGGAGGAAGAGAGACAGAGTTGTCTGAGTAAGTGAGATATGCCATCATGGGTACTGAAATGATACTTCTTACCTGTCACATGGGAGGTCAGGTTGTCAGAAAGGAGTGCAGTGCCCTGGGGCAGTCCTGCGGATGGTCAGAAGGCACACATCTGCCAGACAGAGAAGACCAGGGCAGTTCACTGTGGCCGAGAAGGAATCATTTGCGTAACTTCTAGAACTGTCACTAAATGTACGCTGTTCCTTTCCTTTCCCACTAGAAGAGAGAGTACTGTGCCAGGCCTCGCTTGGACATCATCCAGCCCCTCTCTGAGACTTGTGAGGACATCTCTTCAGACGCTCTGACCGTCAGAGGCTTCCAGGAAAATGAGTGCAGAGATTATCACCTAGGTGAGAAGGAATGTCATTCCCATCCAGATGTCCTTCCTTCCCTAGTTCTTACAGCTGGGTGATGCCATTGGCATGCAGAAAGGGCGTGAGACCTGCTCTTGGGGGTCAGGCCCCCAACCCAGTGTCTCAAGATCTCAGAGGAGTCTGTGAAGGGAGGGACCGGTGGGGCGGCCAAAGTGAGCAGCCCACTTTCTGTGCTGCTGTATTTTCTCTGTAGTCCCAACTATTCAAGATGCATTGGGTTTCTGTCAGCATCATACATTGAGGTCCTGTGATTGCCATGTCATATTCAGCTTTCTGTCCCTGGAAGATGGAAGCTCTTGAATGGCAGAGTGCCCAGACCATGCCAAATGCTGAGTGACTGCCTATTGAGTGCAGAAACGAATGAAATGCTCAGGCGCTGCCCAGAAAAGAAAAGAGAACTGTTATTGGTCATACCAGGGGCGCCTCTGTGTAGGAGTCCTCAATCACTTAATCACTTAATCACTTAACTTCCCGTTAGTAGTTGATTTGCTCAAGCGGGCGCCAGTAACGTCTCCATTTGTCCCTGTCGTGTGCTAGTGTAACCCAATGGCATCTGTTCGCTCTGGGATCATGAAGAGCCTCAAACCGATCGTTCGTGATCTTCACAAAGAAGTCTGACCATCTGGTAGGTGGGCGGCCACGGGGTCTTTTGACATCCCGTGGAATCCAGTCAGTAACAGCTCTAGTTCAGCGGTCGTCTTTAAATCTCATTGCGTGACCAGCCCATCTGATTTTTGACACCTTGGCAAATGAGACAGCGTCCCTGATTCTTGATCGTCGACGGATGTCGGAACTCCGGATTTTTTCTCTCATTTGAGTGAAACGTGATATTCCAAGCATAGCTCTTTCTATTCTTCTTTGGGAGACCTGAATAGCGTTCTCATCTTGTTTGCGTAGGGCCCAGGTCTCTGAGGCATATGTTAATGCAGGAAGAACAGTGGAATCAAAGAGATGTGCCCAGAGCCGGAGGTTTTTCGTCCTCTTAGCTATTTCTTCGACGTTCTTGAAGGCGTTCCAAGCCGCTCTCTTCCTCCTGCGCAGCTCGGGTGCCAGGTCATTTGTCATGTTGACTTCTCGACCTAGGTACACATAGCTGTTGCATTTGGAGATGGTCATTCTGTTGAGAGTGAATGGGGCATCAGGAATGAGGCTGTTTCTCATAAACATTGTCTTCGTAAGATTCAGCTGTAGTCCTACCGTTCCACACTCACGGTCAAAGTCGGCCAGCATTTGTGCCACTTGGCTGATGTTTGGTATTATTAAAACAATGTCATCAGCAAAGCGGAGGTGGTGTAGGTGCCGACCATCTATCTTCACTCCCATTCCTTCCCGTTCCAGTCGTCGCATGATGTTCTCGAGGGTGGCACTGAAGAGTTTCGGTGAAATGGTATCACCCTGCCGAACCCCTCTCCTGACATCAACGATCACTTCTTTGTAGAATGGTGAGATCCTGGTAGTGAATCCGCAATACAGCTTACGGAGGATCTTGATGTATTGAGCTTGAATACCCTGGTTGGCTAGGGCTTCAATGACCGCTTCCGTCTCAACAGAATCAAAGGCCTTCTTTAAATCAATGAACGTTAAACAGAGCGGCATCTTGAACTCCCGAGAAACCTCAATGAGCTTGGTTATCGTGTGGATATGGTCGATGGTGCTGAATCCTTTGCGGAACCCGGCTTGCTCACATGGTTGTCCTTCATCTAGTGTTCTGCCAATCCTATTTAGGATGACTTGAGTGAACAACTTGTAGATGACAGACAATAGGCAGATCGGGCGATAGTTGCCAATGTCATGGATGTCTCCCTTCTTGAAGAGTAGTACGGTCCTGCTGGTTTTCCATTGGGACGGAACCTTGCATTCAGACAGGTAGCGAGTGAAGAGCCGAGCCAGTGTATTGATGAGTACTGACGGCAGGTTCTTCAGGTGTTCAGGTCTGACCTTGTCTGGTCTGGGTGCTGTTTGTTTCTTTACCGACGAAATGGCGTGTCGGATTTCGGAAGGGAGAATGTTGGGAACGACATATCCATCCTGTGGAATTTGGTATGTCGGCAAGTGGACATGGCTATCGAAGAGATTTGAGTAGAAGTCATGGATAATCTTCTCCATTGCCCTTCTGGAATATGTGATAGATCCATCAGGACGTCGGAGGGCAGTCATCTTGGTCTTGTAGTTGGCGAAGGACAGGCGGTCGTAACGAATACTTTTCCCAGCTTCTGCCGCATCTACCAGTACTTCTGCTCTTCTCTCTTTGAGGTCTTCCTTGATCACATCTCTGCACTGCTTTGCGAGCTCGGACCTTAGCTTGCGGTTGCCTGAGGCATGCGCCAAACCACGCTGGCGAATTAGCTCAAGAGTTTTTGAAGACAGGCGTTTTTTTGTGGCTATCTCTCTCTTGGCGTTCCTCGCACAATCATGGAGGTGCTGAACCAGTCGATCGAATTCCTCGTCAATGTTGTCAACAGTGGCATCTTCCCATGTTGCCGCAATAGTGCCAAAGAGTTCCCAGTTGCGGCAACATGAGAAGATGCCATTGTTGACAACATTGACGAGGAGTCCTCAAATCTGTGGAAAATGCACTAATTAAAATAAAACAGCTTGAACTTTTTAGCAATTCTTTTTTATTAAATACAAACTGTTGGCTTTTTTTTTTCCTTTTTGGATTACACCTGGCGATGCACAGGGGTCACTCCTGGCTCTGTACTCAGAAGTTACTCCTGGCAGTGCTCAGGGGACCATATGGGATGCTGGGAATCGAAACTGGGTCAGCCGCGTACAAGGCAAACGCCCTACCCGCTGTGCTATCTCTCCAGCCCTGTTGGCTTTTTTTTTTTAAAGACAATGTCTTTAGTTCTCATTTTGGTCAGTGGAAATGAGGAAATGTTTTATACATGTTTTTGCTTTCTTGTATGAAGCCTCTTAATCAGTTGAAAAAATAAGAGTAGATTCTGGTCTGGGCAAAAGAAGCAAATGTGATTCACAGCTGAAGGCATCCAATCTTGGTTTTTGCTCAGAGCAAACTCTGCACCACACTTGGAAGCCCTCAGAACAGCTCCTGTAATTGAATTCTGCAGGAAGTCCTCACAGCCAGCACTGTGGACCAGCGTGGTGAAATGATAGATTATGTCCCCAGGGCTTGGGGCATCTGTCATTCATGCCTTACATGGCATTGACCTTGATGAGCAAGAAACATTTGTCGGCAACTGTGGGGTATAATTGTTCTATAAAAATAGAACAGGCTGTACAAGGGAAGTTTGTTTACAGTAGAGGCATTCTGACATGCAGTGGGCATGGAGAATTTTCGACAGTTTCCAACTAGGGTCAGAATGTTAATAATGTATTAAATACAGACTTTGAAACCCACCTTGGGTTTTGTAAAGGTGATTTTTGTTTTCTTTTGGTTTTTTGATTTGGTATTTCTTACGTCCCTTTTTTCTGTCCTCTTTTCCTGCAAATAACTTTTTGCATGTATGTTTTTGAAAGCACTGAAGTACATTCTGTCATTCTCCACTGTTATATCAGTCACTACTATTAAGTGGAACCAAACACACATGCTGCAAAGGAGAGTCATGTTTGTTCACTGTGGACTTGGGTAGCCTGAACACAGCTCCCAAAACCATTGTGAAGTTTCTGCTGTTGATGCATCCTAAGCCTCTCTTCTTTCCTCTCTAGAGTACTCTGAAGGAGAATCTCTCTTCTACATCGTGAGTCCAAGAGATGTCGTAGTCGCCAAAGAACGAGACCAAGATGATCACATTGACTGGCTGCTTGAAAAGAAGAAATATGAAGTATCTTGGGGTTTACTTTCTTGAATGATTGGCATTTGTGTAACAGGCAGCATGCAGGTTTTGTAGTAGGTCTTTCCTGTTGGTCAGTCACAATGTTCCAAGCTGAAACCCTGCAGAGGGTAATCACTTTCCAGGGCTCCTTGGAAATCAGGGCGTGGGGTGGGGGTGAGCTTGTAAGACTTCACTGTTCTGAGGATGATAAGTTAGTGGCTGGAGGGGACGCAGGTGTTAGATCCTAATTGTTGACATGTTTGTTCGTGGGGTTTCAGGGAAAATGAAATAGAGCCAGAATTTCAGGGTCATCTCTTTGGATATTTTGGTGAAATCATTTGTTTTGTCCATATTTTGTAATAGAAAATGGAATTTATCAAATTCAATCTTAGGGTGGTTTGAACTGACCATTCAGAGTGAATAATGTTTGCTTTAAGGAGACTTGATTCAATTTAACTGAATAGCTTATATATCATCATGACTTTCTTTTCAAAACTTTTTAAAACCTGAATAGCTGTAAAAGCATTATTATATAGGTTTAGTTAGAGAAATTCAGTGGGTGGGCTTAGGAGGTTACTGGTTAATAATATATTAATCAGCTAAAAACATACAAAAATTAATCTACTTATTTTCAACTTTAAGTTTATAAGTATCTGAAAGTATTTTAGGGGGAAAATATTTTAAATATCAATTTTTTAAAATATAAGTTCAGCTATTGATGTCAATTATTGAAGTATCTATTTATATTTGGGGGCTATACCCAGTGGTGCTCAGGACTTTCTGTGCTCAGGGATCACTTGGGGCTGACCATAGCGAGGCAAGTGCCTTAACCCCTCTATTAAATCTCTGTACCTTGAGTCCAAGTTTATTCCCAACTACTGGCATTTGGGTTTAGATTCAGTCAAGTAATTATTCTATACTTTCCCAAACAAGAGTAAAATCCAGAGTTTTTACAGTCTTTGTTGTAGTTTTACCTTAATGTACACATAGAGCTTGATTTTTATATTTATTTGCCCCTTTGGCAATGTATGTCAAAGAGATTTGTGATGGCAGATGATATTTGTCTATTTATATGCGCCTTGGAGAGTTTTGATATGGTCTGAAATGTGATTCCAATGTCCTAATGTGAAAATGAATTCAAATGGAAATTAGAGAAGTCTTCATTTAGGTTTACTGCTTTTATTTGAGTTCGGAGTTCATTCAACCATAACATTAGAAATTCCAGTGTTTTAAAGCAAAAGCCATGGAAAAATAGGGCTCTGTTTATGTGATTAGACTGTACAGAACTGGGAAACATAATCAGTACAGTGTTTATAACCTTGATTTTTTTCCCCCCACCATCTCCCCGTTTCCTCCTTCCTTTTCTGCTTTTCCCCTCACTCCTTTTCTGCTGTTTTTATCTTGCTTATATAAATACAGGAAGCATTGATGGCAGCTGAAATTAGCCAAAAGAACATTAAAAGACACAAGATTCTGGTAAGTGTGGAAATTTCATCATCTGAAACTTACCTCTCAGTAAGTTCCAGTGAGATCAAAAGTACTTGAGCATCTTTTTCCAGTGGTTTTGAGAATTTGTTTCAAACAAACTCTCTAACCTGTGAGCTCAAAATATTTCATTTTATTATTAAATTAGTTTTTGCTTGTAAACACGAGACTGAACCCCTAGTAAGAGGTAATTTGGAAACTCTGTTTGTGAAATAGACTTTAAATTTAAAGCTTTCCAGTTAGGGGTGCAGAGGTTTCTCCAAATAACAGGCAAAATAGCTTTATCACAAAATTTATCCAAAGAGTACTTTCATACAACTGGATTGCTTTGGTTTCTCCATGATAGCAGGCTCAATTGATTTTGTTACAGAGACTAATCTAGGACATCAAATACATTTTTATTATGTTTGGGTTCTAGAAAAAAAAACAGTGTGACTGAAAGGCCTTTTCTTTACTAACTGTGGCAGCAAATGTGCAAGTAGATGGCAGCAAAGAGATTTCACGAAGAGCCCTCAGAGACTGGCCCTGTAGCCTTGCTTCTTGGTAAAAGCGAAAAACTTTGTCTTCTGTGGCTACTTGGGTTCCACACAAATTTCTTCAGCCTGCTCTTAATCCATTTAAACTTCTCTATAAGAATCCTCACTGAAATCCTAACCCGAAGGGTTCACACGCAAAATGATTCAGGAACTATAAATAAGGTAAGACAACTAGATATTTCCTCCCAGTCAAAAGTGTGGCGAATAACTGGAGGATTATCTAAAAGGGAATGTAAGGCCCTCTGGCAGAAGAATGGAGGGACAGTGCAGAAATCATGAAACCTACTTGCTAAGTGGGAGATTTGAAGAGTGTAAGATATTGGTAGCAAGAGCCAGAAGCAGAGCACGAAGTTGGTTAGGAGCTCAGCTTTATCTTGGAACCTTTAGAAAACAACTTAAGCTTTCTGTGCCTGCAGCAAAGTGTCTGGATAGAAGGATACTCCTGTGTCAGGAGGGGGTCAGGAAGCTTCTTGGTTTTAAGGTGCAAAGGGTTGTCCCCAGAGTTACTAGTGACGGAGAAGTAAAAATATATGAAAGCTAGAATCTAGTTCACTGGTACCCGTGTGATGACTGATTCTGTATGAGCAGGAGTAAGTGAGAAACTTAGGCCAGCTCCCAAGCTCTGCTAGCCCAGGTGGACAGTGTTGTCACTCACCCAGGAAGAGAAAGGCTGAAAGGAGCAGGATTGGGTGGGGGAGGAGAGATTGAGGGGTTCAACCCACCTAGTTTGGGGTACAAGTAGGACATCCTCATGGCACACAGGAAAGAGATCTGGCCTCAGAAATACATTCAGGAGAGTCGATAAAAAATGCGGATATGAGCCAGTTCACACAAGGCAGATGTCTAGCCCGTTGGGACCATTGACATTGAAACAAACAGTGATGCTTCCAGCAGGGATTGTGTCATGGGAGCTGAGAGAGAACATTTCCGGTAGGGGAGCTATGTCTTAAGTAGTGGAGGAAAGTGGGTCAAAACAGAACAGCTCACCTAATCAGGTGCACCTTGGGCCAATTAATATAAAGGTGGCAAGTGAATTTTTTTTTATATGCATGCCGTTTCTTGTCACATGCTATATAGAGTGAAAAGGGAAAAGAATACTAGGGGGTTGGGTTGGCTCATGGGAAACACTGAGGTCTGGGACACGGCGTCCAGGAAGTTATTTGGTGGCAGGTTTTGTCTAAGGGAGACATTTGGCTTATTCTGCTAAGGGTTGAAAGAAGATTGGGTTGAGTTACAGGAGTATAGAGAAAGAGTCTCTGAGTTGCAGCATAAGGGGAACCATGGACATGAAGAGAAAGTCTGGAGAAAGTTACTCTGCAGTAGGGGCTTTATCATCTCTGGCCCTGAACAGAGAGGACAACCAGAGTATGGGGTGGAGCCATAGCACATCAGGGGGCACCTGCCTCCATCAAGCTGACCCCAGCTTCATCCCCCACATTCCATATGGTCCCCCGAGCACCGCCGGGGGAGTTCTTGAGTGCCAAGCAGGAGTAACTCCTGAGCTTCACCAGGTCTGGCCCCTAAACAAAACAGATCAAAGGATCTAGGACGTGCAGCAGCTTCTTTATCCTCTGGTTTCTGATTATTTGGAATATGATTTCATACATAATCAGCCTGCAAGTAACTATGCATCAGCACTGTAAATGTTGGAACTATTGTAACGGTGATACCAAAACTGTCACAAAACAATATTTTTAAAATGTAATAAGTGAAAACTCTGGGTGTTTCTTAGATTTTTGAAGTAGTCATGCCCTGGATAGTAATTATGCTTCAACATTTTCTCTGAGCGTAGTGTCATTTCCTATCAGGTAGGCAGAGAAAGAAAAGTTTCTGCACTAAAACTATTTTATGTATAAAATAGAAGTTGTTGGGGCCCAAGCAGCAGTACACAGCAGATAGGACGTTTGCCTCGCACACGGTCAGTCCGGGTTCAATCCCCAGCATCCCATATGGTCCCCGAGCCTCAGGAATAGTTCCTGAGTGCAGAGCCAAATGCCTGAGCAATGCCAGGTGTGGCCCAAGAAACAATAGTATTGTTGACTAAAATAAAAATCACCACTAAGTTAAAGGTAATTTAGTTTTTCTAGGCTATAAGTCCAGGGCTGCCAGCCAGAAGACGCTAACAGAACTCTGCTCAGCTCCTCTCCCTAGCCCTGCGAGCTGCCCACTCCAGAGTCTAGGCTAGATTAAGTCAGGTTAATCCCAACCCCACCAGGGATGATTTAGGTGAGGCAGAGAGGAGAGAAATGGCCACTTTCTCCCTGTCTGCCTCTGCCACCCCGGAACTGGTTGATAAAGCCTGTGATGTGCCACTGCCTGGGCAGACCTCAAGCCCCACAGGACCTGGGCTGGAGCAAGACATGTGCTCTTTGCAGGAAAGAAAAGTCAGTCCTGAACCTTACCCAGGCTTTTTGGGTCTTTCACCTGTATCTCAGAAAAGAATTTCAGGAGGAGACAAGCAGTGGAGTAAAAACTGATTTTATTTGGAGGGTTTTTAAGGAAAGGGGGAAGAGTAGGAGAGGAATGCACTCAAGAGAGAACAGACTTATCCAGTGGTGGAGCGAGCCCCAGCCCACACCCCAGCATTAGATACGGAATCCACATCTCGGGGAGATGCAGGTGACACATGGACTCACGACACATGGACTCATGGGCAGCAGAGCGCATATTTCCTTTGTTCAAATTGACTTTTATAAGGTTTCTCCTAAGCTGTCCTTGGTGGGGCGTCCTACCTAGGTAAGCATCTGTTGCTAGGATGGTTGCCAAGGGGTCAAGTTGGGAGAGTTGATGGTCTTCTTTGAAATTCCTTTCCTGGTCTTTGTTCCTGGTAGACCGTCTTTCAGAGGGGGTCCAGCCTTTTCTGGATCTGTGCTGGTGTCAGGTAAAAGGTTTATCAGGCCTTAGTTCCTGTGTCCGCAGGGCAGTTCCTAAAGGCCTGAGGACTATTGATTGTAATACTTCCCAGGAATTCTGTTGCCATGAGGACCCTTCCCGGTCTGCCTGTGTGCCTCAAGGTCATTCTCAGCAGAGGAAATATTTACATCGTGGTAGTCATTAGAAGACCAAGCCTTTGTCTTTTCTCAGACATATAGGGATGCCCAATATCCTGGGTTAGCCAGAAAAAAATGTATATATTTACATGAAGTGGCACCAATCAAATTGCTGCACAGGAGACATCTAGGTGGAAGAAATGCAAACTAAGAGATAACATTTTTCATAGAAGAATGCAAATTAAATGAAGAGGTAACATTTTTTTTAATAAGGGTGTTATTTAGAGCTTCAGTAGTATTAGGAAAATAATTTCTGACTCCTGTGCGCCAGTTTGATTCCACAAAGTTAAGTCTGGGTGCAGACTCTGGCCATCCAAATCCTTTCAGACCTGGGTTGGAATAAGGATGAGTTTAAATCTCCTGAGGCCGCCATTTCAGAGTCTTAAGGCCTCCCCCCTGCCCTCTTCTGTTTGGAATGCTTGTTTTCAGAGCTTTCTACTTGATTATTTTAAGTTCATCTTTCCTTTGTAATGTAATGGTCTTTTATCTCATTCTTCTGAGGATATTTCCTCAGCGTGGAGAGGAGAGGAAAGAGGGCACAAGCTTGAGTGGAGGAGATAAACCTGCACCTCACGGCCAGAGCCATACTCGTATCAAGGTTCTAATCAAGACCCTTTCTGTTTTTTTTTAATTTGATTTTTATTAGTGAAACACCATGAGATACAGTTGTAGATTTACAAATTTTTTGTGCTTGGGTTTCAGTTTGTACCCCACCTGGTTGTGCCCTGGGCTTCCCCTGCACAGGGAGCAGACCTAGGCCAGCCACCTGCAAAACCCTATCAGATATCTTTTGTAGAAAATCTCTTAGAAAGGGCAAGTTAAGAGCCTCTAAAATAGCAACAGTATTAATTTTTTCATTGCTTTTAAAATTTGTGGAAGTACAAATATAAGTGCAGTTTACTATGCTTAAGGAGATGGAACTGGGTAAAGACAGGACAGGGATTCGGGCACTGTCCTGGCATCCGCTGACACTGACTGGAATTCCCCAGGCACCCAGAACTCATTCCTGAGCACAGAGTTAGGAGTCGCTTCTGAGCACTTCTGGGTGTGCTCCATAATGTACATAATTATAGAACTGTCCTAAGGAAGAAATAAACCTGGTTATGTTCGGCAAACTAAGATGTATACCAGGTGTCAGGCAGGTGTGAGAATATGTTGGCGTTGTGGTCGGCTCAGACGCAGACTAATCTTCTTGGTTGTTTCTTCTTGGATTTTTTCCCTAGGACATTGGCTTGGAGTATATAACCCACTTGCTGGAGAAAGGAGAGTATGACATTGCAGCACGGTAAGAAAGCCCTTTCCCGCTAGAGTAAAAGTGTTGAGAAAAGTCGTGCTCTGCAGTTGACTTCTGTAGATCCTTCTTCGATCACGATCACGATCATCCTGTTGTTTGTGGATTGCCTCAAGCAGGCACCAGTAATGTCTCCTTTGCCCTAGCCCTGAGATTTTAAAAAGTGCCATATTCAAGGCTCTTTCAGGTTTAGGAGAATGAGACCCATCATTGTTACTGGTCTTTGGCATATTGGGTACACCACAGGGAGTTTGCCAGACTCTGCCGTGTGGGCAGGTTACATTCGGTAGCCTGCCACGTTGTCCAAACTAAGAATGAGATAATAAGATGGTTGGTTCTGGAGGTCTTTGGCTGCCAGGGCTCTGCTTGGCATGGGGAGGGAAACTCAACCCACCCCCCTCCAAGGGGCTCCGGCGAGGACAGCCAGGCGCGGGGGCAGGAGACTCTGTGCTGTTCTCTTCCGGGAGCTGGGTTTTATAGTCTCTGGGTCTTGGCCATTGATGGGATTACACGGCGCCGGGGAGCAGTTGGTGGGTGTGACCCGCCTACTGGAAGATGGAGGATCTGGGTGGAGGATGCTCAGCCCCGATCAGAGCAGGGTTGGAGATCTCAGCCCCGGGACCGACATGCCTTTTTTCCTCTGCCGGTACCTTCATGCGTGTGGAGAGTGTTCTCAGCATGGTTGTGGCTGGTTCTGGAGGTCTTCGACTGCCAGGGCTCTGCTCAGGACGGGGAAGGAAACTCAACCCGCCCCCCTCCAAGGGGCCCTGGTGAGGACAGCCAGGCGCGGGGGCAGGAGATCCTTCTTAACACTGATTTTTTTTTCTGTTAAACATGGAAGGTTTTATGCACAGAATGTCTGTATGTACATTATTTATTCACCCATTGTTTCATTTCCATGGAAGGAAAAATATTTTCCTTCTTACTTAATGAGGATAATAAGAGACTTGAAGAGTGTGAGAGTGTAGTAAGTCCTGAGACTGTCTGTCTCACTTAGGAGAGGAGCCAATTCTCAGCTCAGCGGGCTGCAAAGGATAAACTCATGTCCTGTAGTGTCAGGGCTAGTCACTGCCAGAAGCCTTGAGAAGCTACCTGAGTCGGGGGAGTCTAGAACAGGGGTCATTGACGCCTCTGCTCAAGACCTCCAGAGCTCTCTCGAGAGTGAAGGGTGGCCAGTAGGTGTACCCTGATCAGATTCCAGACTTTCCACCCCAGGATCCATTGGATCTGTGTGGATTCCTCCATTCCTCCAGGCCTGCCTGCTTCCCAGGGTTCGAGGAAATGGGTTTCCTTGCTATAAAAGTCATAATTATCTCAAGGCTCCATCCTAACCATGCCTCCAGAGTAGGCTTTGTGGGAGTCTCTGCTTTCCAAGGCTGAGTCTTAAGTCTGTAATCTCTTAATCAGAGCCCTTCACACTTTGGGATATGATCACGTTTCTTCAAGGCAAGAAAGATGCCACTCATCCGTGACACATGACCAAGAGAAATGAATGTACTCAATAAAACAAAAGTAAAAATTTGGACTCCACAGCCAAATCAATGTTTCCTAGAAGAAAGTGGGGAGGGAGAATAGGTAAATTGAATATAAAGGACAGATCTATGTAAGATACAGCTAACCCAATAGTTTGAACTTACTGTAGTATAGATTTGTGCTGGTTTATAGTGGCACCTCAAACTCATTACTGTGATTTAAAAAGGTTTTTTAAATAGGTACTGGAGAGATAATACAGTAGGTGGGAAACATGCTTTGCCTAGCCCTCCACAGGGTCCCCCAAGCCCAGCCAGCAGTGATCCCTGAGCTCAGAGCCAGTAGTAAGCCATGAGGACAGCTGAGTGTGGCAAGAAAAAAAGAAGAGGAAGGCAGGGGAGAGGGGGGAGGGCGAGGAGGGAGAGGAGAGACTTAATGTAATAAAAATAAGAAAAATAAAAATGGTGCCCAAACCAGCAACACTCATGATTATGAGTTGGAAACCAGGAACAGAGAAACCACTGGGAAAATGTTTCCTCCTGTTCTGAGAGGGCCTCACCCTTTTAAGCATGAGTACCAGTTGGCAGGGTTTCTGTACCCGGTCTGTCATAGTCACTAAATAACAGTCCAAACCCTTACGTTTGCTGGCACTTGGCTAAGGTGTTTTCCACAACACCAACATTAGAGGTTAATCTAAATCACTAAAAGGAAAATGTCCACTAATTTATCTGTTTACATTTTTCCCTTTATACTTTCTCTGGAATATTTTTATTTCCAGCAAGTGCCAGAAAATTCTTGGGAAAAATGCAGCACTGTGGGAATATGAAGTTTACAAGTTTAAAGAAATTGGACAGCTTAAGGTAAGCAAACTTAGTTTTTTGAATTTGATATATATGTATATATATATATACACATATATAGTATATTGAGACGGACATAAAATGAAAATCTTTATGAAAAATGAATAGCTCAACTGCAAAAAAAATCAGGCTCAAGAAAACAGTTTCAAAATATGAATGTGGTTTCTGTTGTAAATGGGATTTTTTTTTCTAACCCAGCATTATCTTTTTAAAAAAATTAATCTGCTGGGGCCTGAGAGATAGTATGGCAGGTAGAGCACTTGCCTTGCATGTGGCCGACCCAGATTTGCTCCCTGGCATCCTATATGTTCCCCCTGGCACTGCAGGAATGGCCCCTGAGCATTACTCCTTTGGTTTGTTTTGGGTGTGACCCAAAAACAAAACAAGAAAAATAAATCTGCTGCCTTCCCTTGCTGTGTCCATTGTTTTCTTCCAGTCCGTAGGTTAAACTCCTGCTGTAAAATTTTTTTATTATTTAGATATCAGTAAAATATTTAAATAAAATTAACATTTTATTTACTTAAATTTGCTTTTATGTTTCCTTTGTGGGCTACAGTTTTACCTTGTCACTTTCTAAAGGAATTTTCTCTCTTTTTCTTCCCTAGGCTGTTAGTCCTTATTTACCGAGAGGGGATCCAGTTCTGAAACCACTCATTTATGAAATGATCCTTCATGAATTTTTGGAAAGTGATTATGAGGTATGGCATTCTGACATGGTCTTACTTGTTCTCTGTAAAACAGTATTAAGAAACGTAGAGGAATAATAGAACAGCGGATTGGAAAGAAGTAGGTGACGGTTTGTATTGGATGGAATCAGAGATGAAGCCCTGAAGACGTTTGTGTCATGCCCCAATCTCTGACCCTTATAATGCATAAGGGTTCACTGATTCTGTAGACCACCTCTGCCGCAGAGCTGAGAGTAAGGAACGAGCGCAACTGATACTTCTGCTGCTCCAAATGAGTTCAGAACTTTCTAAAGTGGAGCCTCAGAGTGAAGTTTAGCAAAGGAATGTTAAATAGAAATAGGGGCAGAGGGAGCCGGCCATGGGGTAGCGGAAGGAGATGTTTTCTCTGAGCTGATGAAAGAGGCAGGATGTGACTTGCTGGTCTTTGCTATTACTAACCTACTGCACATTTATGCCCTCGCTCCCAACAGCGCAGTAACTTTGTACTTCATAAACTTTAATACTATTGTAATCATGCTACCTAAACTATAATTTTTGAAAGTACTTAAAATTTTAAAGAAGTGATAAATAACTTGCCTAGTGTCATTTAGCCATAACTACCAGCTTTATGTCTTTGATGATTCTGTTTTAATTCCTTGATATAATTCAGTTCTTCGTTTTAGAAGAACAGTTTTTGGTCCTATGTTACCAGAGTTATCCTGTTTGTTCATATCTGTAATAGTTTTGAGAAAGAAATCATTTTGGCTTCATTTGATAGGTCATGGATTTTTCTTTTCTTCCTGAAATATTTAGGTCATTTACCTGGTCATCTCTATTTGGAGCAATAGCACAGTGGGTAGAGCGTTTGCCTTGCACGCAGCCAACATGGCCGACACGAGTTCGATTCCTCCGTCCCTCTCGGAGAGCCCGGCAAGCTACCGAGAGTATCTCGCCTGCATGGCAGAGCCTGGCAAGCTCCCCATGACATATTCAATATGCCAGACACAGTAACAACAAAGTCTCCAATGGAGATGTTACTGGACCCGCTCGAGCAAATCGAAGATCAACGGGAGGGTCTTACTTTACTATATAATGTGTTTTATTGTCTTATGTCCTTATAAATAATTTTTTTTTCTTTTTGGGTCATACCCTGCAATGCACAAAGGTTATTCCTGGTTCATGTACTCAGGAATTACTCCTGGTGGTGCTCCGGGACCATATGTGATGCTGGAAATCGAACCCAGGTTGGCCGTGTGCAAGGCAAACGCCCTACCTGCTTCAGCCCCAATAATTAATATTTTAGCTTTAATTATTTTTCATGCTAAAATCATCCATCAGAGATTTATTATATTGCAGCAACAAATCTGGTAGCATATTACGCGGGTGAAGAGTTTGTGCTGCAGGAAGGACAGAACGTGAGCTTAAGAATAAACAGTTGTCGTCTGCATGGGGACAGCTCACACAGTGCTTTCTCAGAGACAGTCTCCTGGGCTTCCTACTGAACTCCATATCACATGCTTTGCCTGTGAATACACAACTAGCAAAACTGTTTTCAGCAGTTAAGTTTTGTTTCATACTATTCATGGCAAATGATAAGCATGTTAGACATGGGATGATCTCTTTACCCTTCATCTAATGAGTACTTTTATCACTTTTTACTGAACTATTTATAGAAGATACTAAAGTATTCTCTAACTTTGTTCACTGGGCCATTACAGCTCCTGATAATCTGTCCTCTAATTAGTAATAATGCCACAGGATTTATTTTCAGTTTTAATACACTTATTCAAGGGTGCATGAAGCCATTTAAACTGAGATAAGTCTAACATGAAATGTAATAAATGTTTATTTTCATTTATGTGGAAATCATCGTGCTTTTATCATGCACAGTAACCGGCTCGTTTCATCTTACATGGTATTAGAAGTTGGCAGTACTCCCACTGTTGCAGGAATCAGAGAGAAAATAGAGCTGGCTCTTGCCTTCTCTCGGAGCTGCTGAGTTCCAGTATTTGAGTGGAAATCTTTTCAGACTCTATCTTATAAATTGTAGAATCTTAAGGTAGAAGCTTGATCCAAAGTATCCTTTTTTACGGCAAAAAGGTAATGATTTAATAATGTTACAAAATAGAACTCTACTTCATTCCCTCCCCAAATTTCTGATGTCCCCTGCAGTCACACTCTTTGAAAGAAGGTTGCTATCTGCATGGGAAGTACCGCCATTTCTGGCTCTTACCATATTTCCCAGGCTCAACTTTAGTAGAAAGAAGACAGAACCCTCATGGAGACTGTATTTCTCATTCTTACCAAGTTTCTTGCCAAGTTCTGGTACTTTACGAAAGTTATCTGTCTACCTTACTGCGGAGATTTCTAGATATCCTTTAAGTAAATTCAAAGAAGTTCACTAAAGCATTATTTGACAGCTCACTCCTTAGCAGTAACGTGATCTTTCCCAGTAATCTGAACCTTATTATATCTATGTACAATCTTTTGAATGCATCTTTTTCCCCTGAAAGGGAACAGTAATTAAACTGTCCTACTTAAACTGTCCTACTGTTCATCCCTCGGAGAGCCCGGCAAGCTACCGAGAGTATTCGATATGCCAGACACAGTAACAACAAAAGTCTCCAATAGAGACGTTACTGGGCCCGCTCGAGCAAATCGACGATCAACGGGAGGGCCTTTACCTTTACCTTACCTTTTACTGTTCATCCAGTTACAAAAGTGAAGGGCTAACGTCAGGAAATAGGAGGACAAAGGCTGCCATGGAAACTGGCCAAGAATCTGTGTAAGAGGGAAACAGACTCCATCAAGCAAAGAGGGACCATGTGCCAGATCCGCCAGATCTGAGACTTGACCAGCTCAAGGGTTAGAATTGAGCCAAAGTCCCAAATCACCAAGAAAATCAGTTCCATCAGGAGTCAAAGAACAAGCACAGCGGCTTGTTGAGGAGGGAGCGCTGTCTGTGCCTGCACTGGCAAGAGGGCACCATATGCATTTGTGCTGGCGCCGGGTCTCACCTGTGTCTCCACTGAACAAGGCTCCCAGGCCTAAAGTGCCTGCATATCATCCAAATGTTAGCCCAGAATGAAGAAGAAGCAGCCGAGGCAGTGGTGCCAGAAGTAGCAGGTGTCCTGGTGGTCCTTTATATATTTTATCCACAGATACATAAAGAGCAGAGTGAATGGCCCCACCTGCTTCCAGCACGTGCACTGAGACTATTGTGCAGTAAGATCCCGCCATTCCCACACCCATAAGTGAATACCAGTGAAAGGCAAATGGATTGCTTTGGATCGTAAAATTGCTTTGTTCACTGAGTACTTTAGGCATTGTTAAAAGTGTAGATTTTTCTCTGTTTAAAGTTGCTTTTTTTTTTTCTCTGTTTTCCCTCCTGGGTTAGGGCTTTGCCACTCTGATCAGAGAATGGCCTGGAGATCTGTATAACAATTCCGTGATCGTTCAGGCAGTCCGGGATCACCTGAAGAAGGACAGTCAGAACAGGACCTTACTGAGGACCCTGGCAGAGTTGTGAGTATATTTGCATGCTGCTCTTTTTCCAGATCATGTTACATGAAGAGTTATTCACATTTGAGGTATGGCCAATTCTGAATGGAGAAGAAAGAGAGGGAGTTTTCTGTGCTCTTTTACTATATTCCCTGGTAAGAAATCCTTTCAGGAAGCCTCGTGAGCAATGGGAGGCAAAGGAAACAGAGTGACCATTTGCTTTGCAGAGGCCCTGGCCACAGTCAGAGCGGGCAAGCTCTCAGAACCCCGCCAGTTGGTTTCAGGTGGCTGGGAAGGTTCTGTCAGTCTTGAACCATCTAGTCCCTAGATGCTTCTCACCCAGGTGAGGTCTAAAGGTGCGGATTCATGGAAATTTTATTTGGAAGAAAATTTCTGGTTGGGACCACAGAGATGTGTCCTTGGGCAGGAGCACAGCTTGCTCCTCCAGCAGTGTCCTCCAACCTGGTACTGAGCCAAGAGGAGCCCTGGGCATTACCAGGGATGGCCCCCAAGCAAATAGTGAATTATTTATCAGTAAACATTGATTTGCTTTATCTATTTTATATACCCGAGGTTGTGTACAAAGTAAACTCTGATGAGAAGTGGTCGCAATTGAGAGCAATTTAAGAAACCTGCTAGAATGATAGCCCTTCAGGTCGTTTGCTCATCTTGTATGCAGGCATCCTGGGGTCAAATTCTGATCACTGCCAGGAGCAATCCCAAGTGCAGAGCCAGGAGTATTAACTCTGATCACTGCCAGTCTATATGGCCCCCAAAAACGGAAGCCGTGGACTTGTCAGTTCATCTAAGGGACCCAGAATCCTTATGTGTCAGGTTCCGGTACAACTGTGTGTCCTGTCGGGAGACTCATCTTGCTCCACCCCACCCCCCACCCCACCCCAGGCACTTCCTCAGCTGCTCAGAGCTTCTGCCGGAGCCCAAAGCACTTGCACCAATACAGCCTGGACTTACAGGCCTGCTCTGGATGTTCTTCCAGGAAAGAAAAGTAATACTAAGGACAGTATTAAAATGGGAGAAGAAAAACAACTTTCCACTTATGGGGAGTGAGTTATATTTTTTTTTCTTTTTCTTTTTCTTTTTTTTTTTTGAGTTATATTTCTTAAAAAAGACGTATTTCTAAAAAGGGAACATTAAATATTTTTTTCTATTACTAGAATTCTTTTCATTTTGGGGAATCTAGACTCTTTAATTTGGTGTGTGGATTTTTTAAAAAATTTTTGTTGTTAAAATTTGTAAGTCTACAACTGTACCTCATATGTCTCACTAATAAAAAAAAAGAAAAAAATTGGGAAGAAATCTGTTAAAAAAATTTTTTTTTGTTGTTGTTGTTGTTTGGTTTGGTTTTTTTATTTTGGACTATACCTGGCAGTGTTCAGGACTTATTTCTGGCTCTGTGCTCAGGGGTCACTTCTGATGGGGCTCAGGGCACCATATGTGGTTCCAGGGATCAAATCTGGATTGGCCACGTGCAGGGCAAACACCTTACTCACTGTACGATCATCTGGACCCATATTGTAACTTTTTTAAAATTTTGATGAAATATGAAACAAGATTCTCAGAAATATTAGTCACAATAGTTAAATCAGAAAGGATAGTTTTTGAGATACAACTTTTTCTTTAAGAAAATATTTCAGTTTTCAGTCTTGTAAGACATGATTTATATCTTTGTGTGTGTTTAATTATGAATGTTGATTCACATTAATGTAAAATTTTTGTTTTACCAGGTATACCTACGACAAAAACTATGGCAGTGCTCTGGAAATATACTTAACATTAAGACATAAGGACGTTTTCCAGTTGATCCATAAGCATAATCTTTTCAGTTCTATCAAGGATAAAATTGTTTTATTAATGGATTTTGATTCCGAGGTACTGTGTTTCTTATTTTTAATATTGATAAATCAGTTTTACTTTTCTAAATCGATAAAAGCTACTGAAGTGCTGTATATTAAGCCAGATACCTTGCTGTATGCTATTTCACCCAGAACACTTTCGCCCTTGTGATGTTATTTTAGAAGTTGGCATTCAAGTACCCTTTCCTTGATGTATTCTATAAAACATCACAATTTGATGTGGAACCTAGAAAGTTTAGTACTCAATGAAGTGTAAGTGCTTTGTTAGTAATGCACTTTATAGAGACAAAGAGCCTACCTCTGTGCTTCTACTCATTTGACCCTTTTGTTAATCCCAGAATTAAGTTTAAGTGCCTGTATTTCATATCATCCACTCTGATTTTCTTCCTTGGGACTCAGACTTGCCACAAGGAGTCTCCGTTGTTCTTATGATGCACGGTGCCAGGACTTGCCGACAGCAGGAGCAAATGTGAATAGTAACCCCTTGTCTGGTGAAAGCTCCGAGAAACATAGCTTACTAGTGGGGAATGACAGCGGCAGGGGTGGCGCTAGAATGTTGAAGGAACTCATGGCAAGTGCTGGTGGTGGTAGAACAGGATCAGTAAAGCACATCAGTAAAGCTCTGCCTCCACTGTGGAGGTTCCAGATAAATGCAAAGATAAGAACTTTCATGCCTGTGAAGGACTCCTTGCATTCTCCACTTGGTTTAAGAGCACCGATTCCTCTCTCAGTCTCCACAAACTCCATGAAATCAAAGCTCTTTGCTCCTGCCTCCATTTTTCACTCCTTCTTCGTCCTGAGAGAATCAAGTCCATAAGGACAACACTGGATCTAATGAGAACCAGTGAGGCTCTGTGGGAGCTCAGGCCAAGGCTTCTCTGGCAGAGAAGGATGAGAAGTTTCTAGCAAATTTGATCACCTTTTCCTTTATCCAGTCTCGCCTCATGCCTGTCTCCCACTCCGTTGGGCCAAGAGCCCTGTAGTACAAATGCTGGTGTCAGCAGACAAGGTGAGGGCTTTGCCAGCTCAAGCTAGGAAACCCTGGAGCTTTCTGAGGAAGATCTTCCCCAGCAGCCTCTGTCCTGGAGGGGAAGCAGTGTTTGAGGCCGACCAGAGCAAAACCCCTGTCCCCTGTGAGGTTCGTGTGCTGAGCCCTTGTCCTGCCTTGTCACACAGATCCTGGGGCAGGCATTGGCATGACTGTGCAGGGTGAAGTCAGGGGTGCCTGGAGTCAGTTTCAGAATGCTGTAGTCTTTCTACCATTGAGGTTTCTCTTCTCTTCTTCTCACTCTTCCCCACAGAAGACGGGCTCTTTATGTAGTGATCCATAGAGGGCCTCGGGCAGGTGACCCAGGAAAAGTCTTGCTTTGGTGTTGATAGGAATAGCGTGTGTTCTCTGACTGTGTAGAGTTATATAAGAACTCTGGGCATGTTTGAGCTATCAGCAGGTGCCTGTGTGTCCAGGCTGGGTTTGTGAGTTGTAGGTGAGGCACCGTCTTACTTGTATACAGTAGGCCTCAGGCTGAGACTCTATTAATATGTAATTTTATTTTATTGAGGTAGCACTGCACAGTGACATTGCATAAAGGTCAGATGTGCATCCGTGAAAGTAAACACTTTTACACTAGTTAGTCTAGTTTGATCCTTTACTGTACATTTGTCTTCTTTGTCCCAAATGTACCTTCCCTCCTACTTTCATCCCTCCAGGGTCACCACGAATTGGTCTTGTCGTCTAAAAGTTTGTTTTGATTGTACGTAGTTCCATTTTTTATTTAATTTTACATCTGGAGACACATTTTAAAACATATAGATACCATTTACTCTCCACTGGAAAGCTAAAGATCTGAGTCTGGAGAGGGACCTCTCTGCCTTTAACTGACGGTTATGTTCAATTTTTTTCTTCTGTGACAAATTTCAGTAATTGTGCCCCTTTTTTGTATCTTCATATGTTATAGAAAGCTGTTGACATGCTTTTGGACAACGAAGATAAAATTTCGGTGAGTGTCTTTTATTTTTACACATTGCCGCAAAGAAGAATGATGTTGATCAGAGAATTTTGTGGCTATATTTGTATCTTTAAAAGTCTATATTTAAAGTTTTGCTTTTTCACTATAGATTAAAAAAGTTGTGGAAGAATTAGAAGACAGACCAGAATTGCAGCACGTGGTAAGTGTGGCGGTCTTTTGTCCTTTTTAACTGAACAGCAAAGCAAATCATAGGCAGTTTGGGCATGAAATAGCACAGCCAACTCTTCAGGGTAACGCACAGCTTGGAGGTTTGACCACAGGCAATATTCTGGAATTACTAAATGCAGTGTTTGCTCTGAATCTGGAGCAAGGGGAAAGAGAGAGAGAAAGAAACATATTCATGTTTCTGTCCCTCAACCCTATACTGGCTCCTAATATAATTTGTCTCCTGCAATCTTGGAAAATTATGCTGTTATCCTAGATTTCCCGCAGGGCTTGCTTTCATCATGGGAGTAAAGCAGGAGTAGATGCTTGCTTTCTGTGTCCTTAGGAAATGATACAAGCAAAGGCTCTCATGAAAGTTAATGTTATACCATTGGACTGAGGCTCGCTGGTGCCATGAGGTGCCCTTGTGTCCTTACCCACCTCTCTGCTCTGTAAAAAAGGGAGTAGAAGAAAAGAGCATTTTGCTTGGAAGTCAGTCTGACCACTGAAGCTCTGGAAAGCTCTAGGATAGGAGTTTCATTGTCAGGGGACTGCTCTGGGCCTTCCTCTGACTACGTGGAGTCTCTCTGCTCTTCCTTCCTTTCTTGTTCAGAGGCCTGAGCAGGTAATCTGCAGGGGTCAGAGTCCAGTTTAGAGGGCGCCCATCTGCACTGGTGAATGTCAGTCTTCGGGAGATTTGTTCACAAGCATAGCTTTGGGTGCAGATACACACTCACCCTTCGGAGCTCGTCCACTCCATGTGTGAATGTCCTTCATGTGATCACTGTGAGCAAGTCCTCCTGCCTCCATGGTGTATGTAGGGTTTGTTTACACTGGATATTGAACATTGATCTCTAACTTTGTATAATATATTGACTTCATCTTGCCTCTGAGTAGGAAGCGAATTATTCCCTTTGAGGTCCATTAACTTTTACAGACAACTAGAATAAAGAATCTGTTTTGAAAATTGGTTTGGAATGTCTGTAGTCTTCTTGAATTTACTTTTTTCTTTTACTTTATCACAAATTCTTAGGCAGTATTTTATTGCAAACACAGATCTCAATTAGGCCTAATAAAGAGGATATGGAGAATGCGTGTGTCTCTTAATGTAGCTCTTGCTGCGTGAGTTTTTAAGTACAGTCTTGTGTCCCATAAGTCTGCCCATTTTTATATACAAGATGAAACTTTGTGTGATGTACAGAGACCACTAATCAAACACTTTATTTCTGGAATGAAGTAGATGATAGTTACAAAGAGTTACTACCACTCACATTTCTTTAGTGTGTAGTATGGTTCAGAGTGATTTACAAAATGGTAAGTCATTCAGTCTTCAACCTAATAGGAATCCCACAGTTCAAGAAGCCACTTATCCAGTGACTAGTGATTCACCTTACTTGGAAATTGGTAAGTCCGGCCATTGGGGGCTGTTCTAGGAACAATGCAGGGACCTTTATTCCATCCCCAGAGCACACTCACTCCTCTCCTCATTATCTTGAGAATTTCCCTGAAAACTACTGCTCCCGCCCTCCACCTCTGCAGAAAGCTTCAGTTCTGAAAACTGAAATCGCCATCCCTTTTCAAGTACATCCATGCTTCTTTTCTCGTCTTACTATTCATGACATATTCTTTTGTCTCTTCCAGTATCTACATAAGCTTTTCAAGAGGGACCATCACAAAGGTCAGCGCTACCATGAGAAACAGATCAGTCTTTATGCCGAGTATGATCGACCAAACCTGCTCCCATTCCTCCGCGACAGCACCCACTGCCCGCTCGAGAAGGTAAGCCACAGGTTCCCTCCTTACTCTGCAGGTGAAGGCGCTGTCACTGCTGGTAGGCCTAGCTGGTTTATTGCTAGGTCACTGCTGACCACTGTGCTCTTCCTTTCTCTGCTCATCCTTCACATTTCATGAGAAAGAGAGTTGTACTCAAAGTGAGAGTGTTGCTGGATCATTCTAATGTGAAGTAAAAGCCTATCGGGTTAGAGTTTGATGAGCTGAGTGTTCCTGTGACATTTTAAGTTGGAGTAAAGATTTAATCCAGATTCAAGGGCTTGGTTAACTGTCGAGCACAAGTGAAGTCAGGAGTCTACTATTTGTTGACTGAGAACGAAATTGAGGATTAAGTGGAAGGAAAGGAGCACTGCAGCAACCAGCAGTCACCTTCGTTTGACTCCTAGTCAGTGTGAGTCAATGAAGAAATGAATACACTTGAGGTTCTTGTTTTATGAGCCTGTGGCTTCAGAGCAAGCACCTCTGTGTGTGTGTGTGCACTACCATGCAGGTGATTTAAGGCCCACAGTATTGTTCCCTGTGGTTCTTGATACCATTGGAATGTTGTGTGAGATCTGTAAATGTCAAGTGAAATTCAGATGGCCAGGTAGGTATTCCTTAGTCACCTGTGTATCACCAAAACAAATCATGTTTGCCCATAGAAGACAGCTGAATGAGGAGGCTGATTGACAATATGCATTTTGTGTACACTCACAACTTCATTTTTTTTACTTAATTTTATTTTTATAAAGTAGGTCACAATAATTTATTAATTCAATATTCAACAAAAATCCCACCATTATACTTTCCCACCACCATTATTTCAGATTTTCCCACCACCCAAACCTGCCCCAAAATCAGGTCCTACATAACTTATTTTGTATTGCTTGTTATGAATAATCCCCTAAAAATGATCCAAAAGAGTACACTTAGAGGAAAGTTTGTGAAGATTGTTGTATCTCAGCCTGGAGCCATTAAGCCCCACATAAGAGATCACTAACATGTTATGAGACTGACCCGCTGCCTACTGTGCTAAGAGTAGGCTGGGCTGGAGCCATAGCACAGCGGGTAGGGCGTTTGCCTTGCATGCGGCCAACATGGCCGAACCAAGTTCAATTCCTCCACCCCTCTCGGAGAGCCCGGCAAGCTACCAAGAGTATCTCGCCCACACAGCAAGGCCTGACAAGCTACCCGTGACATATTTTATGTGCCAAACACAGTAACAAGTATCACAGTGTTACTGGACCCACTTGAGCAAATTGATGAACAATGGGAGGATAGTGCTACAGTGCTAACATGTTGTTACAGGTTGAGACGTGAGTACTCTTTTATATTGGGGGGGGGGGGTCAAGGTCATTTGTCTTCTACTTTACACCCCACCAAATGTGGTGTGCTACTCTTGGTACATCAGTGGTGTAGAGTATGAGATGTCCAGGGGTTCTAAAGTTTTAAATAGGATGATACGACTGGAGTTAAATTTTTAACTGGATGGTGACTTTGGGGTCTGGAGGCATCCCTGCAGGTTGGTGGTCTCTTCTGATGTTTATTTGTGAGTCTCTGGATCATGGCCCTTAATGGGCTTATGTAGTGCCAGTGGCAGTTTGTGGGCGTGACTCCCAGGCTCCCGCAAGAACAGGGCATGGGGGGAGGTCGCCTATCCCGACTCCACACTCACAACACTCACAACTTCTTAACTTGCCTCTTTTTCTTTTCTTTTTTTTCCTTTTCCTTTTCTTTTCTTTTTGGATCAGACCCAGTGGTACTCAGGGCTCTGTGCTCAGGGTTCACTCCTGGTGGGACTCAGAGTGCAAGGCAAGGCAAGTGCTCTACTGCCATGCTGTCTCTCCAGACCAGGATAGCTGTCACGGTAGCCTGCGGTGATGAACTCTAATCATATTACTTTTACACTGAATCAGCTTTATGTCAGTGGAATTTCAAATGGAAAAAAACCCAGAGCTTTCCTGGATATTAACTGTTCTTTTAAGGGGGATTGGGGGGGGAGGGTGTGAGAGAGAGAGAATTTTAGCCTTTTTTTTTTTTATTGAACTCTAAGACATTTTCTCAAGAATAGCTTTGGAAATACCTTGTTCCTTGTTCTTAAAAATAAAAGACCAAAGACCCTTACTTACATTTTGCATGGTGCCCTTTGCTTGGATTCTTTTGTTTCCTGGGTTGGCCCCCAACAGTACTCTGGGTCTACTTTTGGCTCTGTGCTGGGGCCATTCCTGACAGGACTCCGGGAGTGTGTGATACTGCAGGGGTTGAGGTCAGCCTCCATCCCCCGCAAAGCATGCGTTCAGCCTTTGGAGCCATCTCTGCAGCGTTCACTAAGTCCATCCTCAAGGGAACAGTCATGGATTTATTAACTCATCAGGTGTTCATTTCCTTTCCTTAGAAATAAGAACTCTATTATCCTTGATTACTTTAGACAGTAATTACTTTCATGTTAATAACTTGAAAAAACTTCTGTACCAGTTCATGAAAAACCAAGTAGATTTTTCTCACTTTAAATGCATTCCAAATGAAGTGAAAGCAAATTAATTTTGCCAGTTTTCGTCTAAAGAGGTTCAGGAAAAATTTGGTCTCTTTTTCCTGAAAATAAAGTTAATAGCTTTGGCATTTTAATCCTTTTCCCAACCCCAGCAAGGTAGAATCTACTTCAGAAAAGACATTTTTGACTCACTCAGACCATATTTATTTAACAGTGTTAGTAATCACTTTTTGTAGCATAGAAACTCATTTCTGATTGTTGCTTTGCTGGAATGAGATCATTGTTGAATGTCAGATTACAGTTGAAATCTTCAGAAATCCAACCAACCTTATTTCTCTTGAAATTCTACAATCAATTGTATCTGACCTAAACCTAGATTTAATGCAGACCTTTAAAATCATCACAACTCTTGAGTTAATCATCACAACTCAAAACAAACATAAGCTTTCATGAATCGTTCATTCTTGGGGAGTTATAGGGTACATGGGAATGTATGACACCAACAGTGATTTTGTCAGTGCTCGGGCCCCCAAGGGTGGTCACTCCCAGTATTTCTCAGCTAACTGGGTCTGATGGTTCATTGTTCAGTCCCAGCACTGCTGGCCACCACCAGCAGCCTCTCCTCTCCAGCCCTACTGCTCCAACCCACGAGGCCCCACCTGGCATGGGCTTCCAGGGTCACAGTGCTCCGGGAATCTTGCAGCACCCATTATCAGAGTCTAGGCCTCATCCATGACAGCACGTGGTCTGACAGTCTGGGCCTCGTCCATGAAGGCACGTGCTCTGACAGAGTCTGGTCTCTTCCATGAAGACACGTGCTCGGACAAAGTCTGGTCTCCTCCATGAGGGCATGTGCTTTGACAGAGTCTGATCTCTTCCATGAAGACATGTGCTCTGAAAGAGTCAGGTTTCTTCCATGAGGCACGTGCTCTCACAGAGTCTGTTCTCTTCCATGAGGACACATGCTCTGACAGTCTGGGCCTCATCTGTGCATGTGCTCTGACAGTCTGGATGCTCTCCCCAGCCCTCAGTTTCAGCAACTTTAGAATATAATGAAAAGTGTTTATTTCTATGTCCTGGATAATGTTTTGTGCTTTTAATTACTGTGTTTTACTTCAACCCTGCAGAAGTATAAGTAGGTAGGTGCTCATTTTTCACTTAACAAGATGAGTCTTCTGAGGTTTAAAGAAATAGCCACAAGTCTGCTACTGGGAAGTCAGGGGCCAAGCTTAGACCCTGAACTTTTTAAAATTTTTTTAACTTTAGATCCCGTATTCTTTCTGTGGTGGGGCATCTTCTTTCAGGTCTAAAAATTAATCAAAATAATCATATAGCACATTCTCTTTTATTCTGTTGTTTCCTTTATATACATACCTACCATAAAGTTTAATTAATAAATTCGGCATGAGACATTAGAAAAGTAGAATAATTATAATAGTAAATACTAATAAACATTAAGTGAGCTTGGCTGGAGAGGTCTTACTGTCTTTAATATATTTCTGACTATGATTGATTGTGTGTAAGTAAACCCCTGGAAGCAGAGTTGTAGGTTAATGGGGATCACTATAATAATATTACATGGGATTGTAATAATCATGAAGAACATTATATTAACTATTATTCTCTCCTTGGTTCTGTTGTTTTCACATGTGGTTATCAGACAGTAGCTTTCTTTTGCAAATCTAGTCTGCTTGCACTGGGAGATGTTAAAAGCAGGGCTTTCGCTTTCTAGCTTGGCAGATTTTACCTGATTTATGGTTTCTCGGATATCTAACGGCATTCACAAGGTGGCAGTATTTGTGAATTTGGATCCATAAGTTGGCAGATCCAGGTTTGTAGATCTTCATTATAAACATTTAAAGAGGAAGTAGCTAACAGGCCCTAGTCATGTCTATTATTTGCTAGACTCTTGGGGGTTGCCTTCAGCTTTGATGTAAAATCAGGGAAAGAGAAGCAAACTATCATTTCTGTGTCATTTACTCAATTTATGACCTTATTTCTTGAACTAATTTTCCTGACTGTTTTCTGCATCCCGTTGGTGGTGGAGACTGTTCTCCCGCTGTCCTCTAGAGGGAGCACTGTCTCTCAGGAACAATGCCCTTCGCTGGTCAGGAACAGGGAAATTCTATGTGCCAAAAGCACTTTCTTTTCACACTTAAAACTTCAGATTTCTAGAGTCACTCTGTTTTTGAAAAAGAAAAGGATATGCTTTTGAGAAACGGTAATTTCAGATACTTAAGAAGCTGGTCAGAAATGACTGAAGGCCCTGTGGGTTTCCTACGTTAGGGACCCAATACCTCTGCCCTTGCTATTGCATGTCTGTCTGCATTCCACACCACCCCTGGCCTCTCCTTGGCCCCAGACATCTCTCGTACGAGTGACCAGGTCTGTTGCGTCCTGACATCACTGTGGCCGCACCATTCTATGGTCTGAGGAGCGCGTGAAGGCAGCACCCAGGCCGGAGTATGAGGCGAGCCATGGGGCAGGAGGCCAGGCTCTGGGTGGCCCCCTGCAGGCCAGGAGGGTCCTGTTTAAGTGGGCAGGAAGAGCTCAGGTTCCTGTTGAGCTCCCCTCTGTGGGCATATCACACCCAGCCCAGATGCTACCTCTTGGGGGACGCTCTGAACAGAACGCTTGCACTGCACTCAGTGGCCCTCATCTGTGCGCCTGACCCAGGACTTGATGCTGCCATGACCTTCCCCCTCCCCAGACCGCAAGCCCCCTGCCCCCTTCCACTGCTTCTGCTTCACCTGAGCCACCACCAGAACCTCGTGTGGGCCTCTGATGTGTCTTTAGCATCAGCATCCCGAGGACTTGGTCTGGGCTTCTCTGCCCCACCTGGCCTTCCCAGCCCGGCCCAGAGGGTAAGTGTGAGTCACGCGTGGAGGTTGTTGGCGTTGTCAGTGCATCTGGCGTTGGAGCTCATCTGCTCCAAGAAATGTTGCGTCTCTGCAGCCCCTCGGCCGGGTGCTTGATGTCTCTGACTGTCAGATGTGGTTTGTCCCCTCCCTCTTGACAGAGCCTTGAGCAGAGTTCTGTTCTGAACCTGCAAGTTGATGATAGAAATATTCCCAGCATCTATTTGTGCAGTAGATGCTGAGCTCTGGCATGCACCTCTGGGGAACCTGCAGCCACAGCCAGCGATTCTCTCGTGGTGTTTACATTCCAGTTCAGAAAAACTGATCTAGAAACAGTGACTGGGTAAGGGGGTGTGTGCTGGGAAGAATCCTCCAGGAATCTAAAGGACAGCACGTGATGGGAAAGGGCCATTTCTTATCACATCTTTTGGCTTAGTTCAGACAATGTTCTGTATTGCCCCTGACATGTCACCGGTTAAGTATGTAGAGTTAGCACGAAAAAGAGGCTAAGAAGTACAGTCATCTACAAAACCTAAGATTTGGGTTTTTGTTTTTGCTTTCTTTTGATTATTTGATTGTTTTTTTGGGGTTTTTTTTGGGGGGGGGGAGGTGCTACACTCAGCAGTGCTCAGGGCTTACTCCTAGGTCTGCAGGAGTCACTCAGGGGTCACTCCTGGCGGGCTCAGAGGACAATAGTGCCAGGGACCAAATCCTGGTCAGTTGTTTACAAGATAAGTGCCCTACCCTACTGTACTATGTCTCTGTTCCCTTTTTCTTTCATTTTTAAAGAGAAAGGCTGGAGCGATAGCACAGTGGGTAGAACGTTTGCCTTGCATGTGACCAACCTGGGTTTGATTTCTCTGTCCCTCTCAGCAAGCTATTGAGAGTATCCCGCCCGCACGGGAGAGCCTGGCAAGCTCCCCGTGGCATATTCGATATGCCAAAAACAGTAACAAGTCTCCAATGGATATGTTACTGGTGCCCTCTCAAGCAAATTGATGAACAACAGGAGGACAGTGCTACAGTGCTTTTAAAGAGAAGAAAAAAAATTTTTCTTGAATTCCTGTGACAAATGTTTCATGAACATTTTTTGTAAATTGTTTAAAGAAAGGAAAGAAATTCTTTCAAACTTGTATGGTTATTGTGAGTCTGTTAACATTTATTTCAGTTTGTCTGTGCATGCTAATATTTTTACCCTTCTTTTATTTGAAGGCTCTTGAGATCTGCCAACAGAGAAACTTTGTTGAAGAGACCGTATATCTTCTGAGTAAGTAACTTTTATTCACTCTGGTTCCCTAAAGTAAGAAATGGGATGACAGAGTGATATAAACTGAAAATGAAAATACTATTTTTAACTACCACAGAGTTGAGAACTTGTTTGATACAAAGGTTAGTGCACAAAAAGCTTTAATATTCAAAAGAGAAAAAAAAAGTTTTTAATAAAAACTGGTGACATAATATGTTAGTATTGAATAAGCAAAACTTTTCACAATGAAGCATAATTAAAATAAATTTAGATGGGTCATGTGTTTATGATTCAATTTTTTAAAATAATGTCAGCTTGCATTGCTCTCCTGGTAAAAAGTAATACTCATTTTCAAAAAAAATACCTTAAATATCGGAAGGAAATGCAAAAGGATGTTGAAATTTTGGACTAGAGATGAACTTTTATTATCTTCTGGCTCTCAGTTTTCCCTGGTGCTCTGGATCCTCCCAACATTTTCATCATAATGTTTATGCTAAGCACACCACAAGGAAAAATTTAACATCCTATTTCTCCTAAAGAAAGGACTTGTGTTAGGACTGCTTGGTTCTTAGAGGTCTCCTAAGGGTGCTCTCTGCAGATATTCTTGGCCCAGAGATAAAGATTCTATGAGCTGTTTCTCCAGTGCCGTTTCTGTCTGTCCAGGGAGGGTTTCTGTCTACTTTACATCTTTTCTTCACACAACACTCAGCCTTATGGGCCACTGTTGCCTCTGTCATAAAGAGTCCAGATCTTCTATATGCACGGATGCCTGTGCACATTTGGGTCTCCAGCACAGACCTGCACACTCTAGGACCTCTCTTCCTTGGAAAGAAGTGTTTGGGGACTTTGTTTTATTACCTGACCATGTTCCTGAGGCTCTAACCACAGCCGCAAGTAGGTCATAAGTTATCTCTTACAAGTAGTGTTTCTTCCATCTCTGCTTGACTAGATTTTTGTCCTGATGTAATTTGACCTTAGAAGTAGTAGACAGCTCACAGAGTCGCTCCTCGTAGTACTCAGGGACCATGTGCAGTGCAGGGGTCCCACCTTCATGTGCCTCTTCTGTGCTCTATTGAAAATAGCCATTAATGGTATTTAATTGGTATTAAAATTCAAGTAGGTCAGTGAACATAATGAACCAAATAGAAGAGTAAGCATTAAAATACTTTCCGTTGAACAAGAGAGAGAAAGAAAGGAGGTAACTCTTAGTTATGCTTTCATACATAGCCTCCTAAGCAGCACCAGCAAACCAGAGCAACAGTGACAGAACTGTGTCTGAGGAAGAAACAGAGTAGCCTCTCAGGGAACTCAGGATGGGACAGATTCACTCTCCAGACAGCCTTTTAGCCACCTTTTGATCCAACAAGTTACTCCATGTCTCTTTCCACTTCTGTAAAATAGAAATATCAGGAACATACCTCAGAGTATTCTAGATGAGTCCTTAGCACCGGGTTTACAGACTGCCCAGCAAAGAGATTCCTCTTTTATTGTTAGTGGAATAAAGGCTAATGTCACATAAGAAGATAAGCTTTAGCTGTAGAACCGCAAATGAATTCAGAGGTAGCCATTCCTTTCTGGTGGTTCATTCAATTTCCTAAACATTTCACATCTTTGCTAGGCCGCATGGGTAATAGCCGAAGTGCCCTAAAGATGATCATGGAGGAATTACATGATGTTGATAAAGCAATTGAATTTGCCAAGGAGCAAGACGATGCAGAACTCTGGGAAGATTTGATTTTATATTCCATCGACAAACCACGTAAGTAGAGAAGTCCTCTATGATCATTTTTTTTTCCTTCTTATATAGCCTGTCACATCTTGAGTAGGAATCATCTTAAGATACAGTGAGTTAAAAATATCGGTAAATATCTTTAAGAAAAAATAGGTCAGTTGCATGGTAACGATTTTCAATATTATTCCTGTGCAGAGAAGCCTGGCACCTTGCTTTCCCTGGATGTGATGAAGAACAAATGGTTAACCTGATAATACTGTGTCCCCTTAAAGCATGTTTATCTACTCCATCCAAATCGAGTAAATGTAATTTGCCGTAGTTTTGTTTTTGCTTTATATTTTGAATATAGGGGACATTTAATTGGAAAGTATGTGGTTGTTACCATTCCTTTTGTGGAAACATAGATGTTGTCCATATTGGAGGTCTGCTGCTGTGGGTTTTAGGGGTATTTAATCCTGTTTGCTGGCCTTGCTGGCCCACTTCATCAGTACAGACCAGCAGTGAAAGTTTGCTGGCGTGGCACTTGACCATTTGCATTTGATCTCCCATTTTGGAGAGAAGAAAAGTTGTTAGTTTGATCAGAACCCAAGTCCAGGGACTGGAGCAATAGCACAGTGGGTAGGGCATTTGCCTTTCACGCAGTTGACCCGGGTTCGATTCCCAGCATCCCACATGGTCCCCTGAGCACCACCAGGAGTGATTCCTGAGTGCAGAACCAGGAGTAACCCCTGTGCATAGCCGGGTGTGACCCAAAAAACAAAATAAAAAAGAACCCTAGTTCTCATTTGAAGATAGAAAAATGAATAATGGCAGTAGTCAGCTGTTCAAATTTTCTTCGAACGAGAACACAATAATATTATCAGAATTGATTTCCATATTAAGATAGGTACATTCCAATGTGTCTTTATCTAAAAATTAATTTTCTAAATAAAGTTTAAGAATCTTAAAGGAAATGAAATGAGTGTAATTAAACAAATCATGGCCTTGCATCTCGCCTGTATTGGCATCTGGGCTTAATACTTGCCTGCTATGTGATTCTACATGAATTCATCTGCCACCCCATTCTTTTTCCTCTACAGTGAAGATAAAATACCATCCTTACCTTGCAAAACAGTGAAAAAGTGTATGATAGCTGAGCTCATGTATTCTCAGTAAATAGTAGTTATACCCTTTTGACAACACAAACTGTATTCTAGAGTAATAAATTATTCTCCAATGATTTTTTTTTTCTTTTTGGGTCACACCCAGCGATGCACAGGAGTTACTTCTGGTTCATGCACTCAGGAATTACTCCTGGCAGTGCTCGGGGGACCATATGGGATAATGGGATTTGAACCTAGGTTGACTGTGTGCAAGGCAAATGCCCTACCCGCTGTGCTATTGCTCCAGCCCCTCTCCAATGATTTTAAACTCTTCCCATTTAGCTTCTTCTTCATATCTGAGGAGAGTAAAGAAGATTTTTTTTTTGAGAATTTAAAAATTCAAGTGTTTTGTTTTTTTCCATTGAATTACTTTCAGCCTAAAGCTGTAGTAGATACACTGCTTATATATTGGTTTTTCATGTTGTATTTTGTAGCATTTATTACTGGCTTGTTAAACAACATTGGCACACATGTTGATCCAATTCTGTTGATTCACCGTATCAAGGAAGGGATGGAGATTCCTAATTTAAGAGATTCCTTGGTTAAAATTCTACAAGACTACAATTTGCAGGTAAGTAGCCTATCTAGAAAAAATGAGCATGCTTGGTAAGTTGACTGGCTATTGGATAGAAATTACTAGGGTTTATTTCACATAGCAGTCTCACAATTCAGTATGATTGTTATCATTTTATTTAAACTCAGATATTTGGGGAAATTCTCAATAGACAAACTAGAAATAACATTCTCTAAGGAAACCACGTGATAGTTTTTATCATCCCTGAGTTTTGTCCTCTTGATGAGCAGGTCTTCTCAGACTGATTACTGTGATTGGGTAAATACAGCATAGCATTGTTTGAGTGGTTACAGTGGGCTATTTTATCAACCCACCCAAAACATCTTAAGTGGAGTGAGTGTTGTGTTCATTTGGGAGAAGATATTGTACAACAGGGAAGACTCTTGCCTTGCATGCAGCCAACTGGGTCAGCACCAGGTGTCACATATGGTCCTGTGAGTACAGAGCCAGGAGTAAGCCCCAGCCTCTCATTTTCACTACACAGTCAAACAATAAGAAAAGCTAAAGTGTGTTTTCAAATAAAATCGAAAGGATAAAATATCAGTATATGCAGTTGTTTTAGTAGCTAACTTTTGTATGGTATTTAATTGGTCTCTACTAATAATTACATTTCTAGGTAATGAGAACTATGTAAATTTGTCAAAAATGTGTGAGCAGTGAGCCACAGGACTGTCCATGCCCCTAGCTTTCTGGGCTAATTGCCTAGAAAGAGGGATTGAGACTGTGACTATGTCAGCAGTGCAGAGGCTCAGGGAAACAGCACATTTCTCAAACTAGAGATGCAAATATGAAAAAGGAATAATTCGTTTAGCTCCTTCCTTGGGTTAGATATCTTTGTTTTTTAATTTTTATTAGTGAGACATCATGAGGTACAGTTGTAGACTTAAAAATTTTTGTGCTTGGGTTTCAATTATACAATGATCCCTCCACCAGTGCCCATTTCCCACCACCACGGATCCCAGTATCCCTCCCACCCCTCATCCCCCCCATCCCACCCTGCCTCTGTGGTAGGGCATTTCCTTTTGTTCTCTTATTGGGTATTGTGGTTTGCAAAAGAGGCAATGGGTGACAATCATGTTTGGTCTATAGTCTACTTTCAGCTTGCTTTTCCCATCCTGGGAGGATCCTCCCAACACCCTTTATTTGGTGTTCCCTTCTCTATCTGAGCGAAACTTTGGTACATTTACACAATGGAGTACTATGTAGTTGTTAGAAAAGATGAAGTCATGAAATTTACATACAAGTGGTACTACATGGAAAGTATGTTAAGCGAAATGACTCAGAAAGAAAAGGATAGACATAGAAAGATTGCATTCATCTGGGGAACATAAAGTAACAAAATAGGGGATAGATATCTTAAGAGATAGCTAGATGGTTTCTCAGCACATCTGGATTTGGAGCTTGGAACGTCTTTGTATATCAGAATTGGTAAGAGCCAAAGGAATGTAGATCACCATAAAATTCATTCATAGCCAGGGCTTTGTAAGGAGTGATGCTGCAAATCACTTTCACCAAGACCAGTTCCCAGCCTCAGAATGAATGAGTACTCCCTGTCTGGATCACTTTTCTTACATCCTTTTGTTTTAGCAGTCTTGTTTGACAATCATTTCATCTTCACAGTGATCCTGTGGGAACTATAATCCTTATTTTAGAGATGAGAAGACAGTTTCAAAAGCTTCCAGTTTGGGAAGGTGATGAACTAAATTGAACCCAGACTCTCTGGCTAGAACTCATGTATTTCTCACTGATTATTCTGTTGATCTCATTCTTGTACTTGCATTACACTGAAACAATACACAAGATTGTCATGGATAGTGAAAAAGTAGCCTCTTGCCTTTAAAGCCTGTTACCTTTAAAAAATACGTGATCTTTTTACACCAGGTACTAGATCAGACATTGTGGCTAACAAGGCACCTGAGTTTTCTTGATCAATTTTCCCTTTAAATTGATTTAATTGAATACAGCAGTATGTTGAATGCTTCACACACCACGATCAAGTTAGATTTATTCCAGACATACAAGGATGGTTCAGTGTTTGCAAATCAGTTAATATGGTAATAAAAGTAAAAACCATATGGTCGTCTTTATAGAAAGGAATGAAAGTGTTGAACAAATTCAATGCCTATTCTTTTTTTTTCTTTATGTAGGAATACTGCTATTTATTCAGCCACTGATTAGCTGATTGAATTGGGCATGAACTCCACCTTACTTTTTTTTCATTTTTTATAATTTTATTTATTGAATCACCGTGAGAGCAGTTACAAAGTTTTTGAGTCTAAGTCTCAGTCATACAATGAAACACCCGTACCTTCACCAGTGCCCATTCTCCACCCCCAACAACCCCAGTATACCCCCATCCCACACCCTACCCCTACCTGTGGGGCAGATGATTTCCACATTACTCTCTCTCTCTCTACTTTGATTACATTCAATATTTTGACACCAAACCCACCATTATTATTTGAGATTTTACCAAATACTCAGATCTGCTGAAAAGGCAACAGTAGACAATTTGTTTTCTATTGCTGGTTATGAATAACATATGATGTCGCGTGACTGCAGTAGTGACCATGCAATTTTGAAATTCCAAAATTTTAACACTTAAATCTGGAGGGATTTCTGCCCAAACCTGCTGGGTTCCGAGATTTGCTCCTGAGTCTCTGGAATCATGGCCGTTAAGCAGCGTGATCAGGAGCCAGAAAGGCCGTTCATGGGCAGCGACTTGGGTCTCATTGGGACGGGGAGGAAAATGCTGTCTCCAACCCCATCCCATGAAGCCCCATGTGTCTCATCACTGAGGGCCCAAACCTGACTGTCCAGTGGCCTCTGGTGGATGGAGGCCACTGAGCCGCCTAGGGGAGCAGGCAGAGGGACAACACCCTTTTCCCCCCTGGGGTGACCCAACAACAGTAACCTACTGCACGGTCCGGATGCATTTCTGCCAAAAGCCACTGGGTTCCGAGATTTGTTTCTGAGTCTCTTGGATGATGGCCATTAAAGCAGCTTGATCAGGAGCCAGAGAGGCCGTTCATGGACAATGACTTGGGGTCTTGTTGGGGGGGGGGGGGAACGGGGAAGGACCAGCTCCACCCCCATCCCGTGAGGCCCAACGTGTCTCGTCACTACTGCGGGCCCAAACCTGACTGTCCAGTGGCCTCTGGAGGATGGTGGCCACCGAGTCACCGAGGGGGACAACACCCTTTCCCCCCTGGGGTGGCCCGGCGACAATAACCTACTGTGGGGTCCAGACGCACTTCTGCCAAAAGCCACTGGGTTTCGCGATTTGAGTCTTTGGAATCATGGCTATTAAGCAGCTTGATCAGGAGCCAGAAAGGCTGTTCATGGGCAACAACTCGGGGTCTCATTGGGGTGGGGAGGAAAGGTCTGGCTCCATCCCCATCCCGTGAGACCCCGCGTGTCTCATCACTGCAGGCCCAAACCTGACTGTCCAGTGGCGTTTGGAGAACGGTGGCCACTGGGCCACCAGGGGGAACAGGCCAAGGCACAAAACCTATTCCCACCTGGGTTGGCCCAGCACCAGTAACCTACTGCAGGGACCGGACGATTTTCTGCCAAAAGCTGCTGGGTTTCGAGATTTGTTTGTGAGTCTCTGGGATCATGGCCATTAAGTAGTTCTATCAGGAGCCAGAGAGGCCATGCCTCCAATTATATAGCTGAACCGGAGGTGGTTTGTGGGTGTGTCTCCCACATACCTAACTTTTGGCCGTTTACTTTCTTGGTAAACTTTGCTCCAAGTTTCTGGGGTCTGGCCAAAGGCACAGCAGCAATTTTGGGGTGTCTGGAAGTCTGACAGTGCCATCAGACTGCTGATGCACTCGCCTCACAGGTACAGATTGACCTGCTCGTGGCTCCATACCCCCCTTCAATGCCTATTCTTAATGAAAATTCTCAACAGAATGGAAATGAGGGAACTTGTCTCCATATTTCACTTGCTGTATACATCAGACTCATAGCAGACATCATCTTTAATGGAGTGAAACAGGAACAAGATGAAGTTGTCCATTCTCAGCACTTTCAGTATAGTCTTGACATAGCAATCAGACAAGGAAGATATACCAAAAGGATTCAGATTGATAAAGAAGTCAGACTAACTATCACTATTCGCGGACAACATAATATTTTAGACACGAGAAACCCTAAAGACTCCATCAGAAAACTCCTAGAAACAGTAGATCGAGGAGGCTAGTAGAGTAGCCTGCTTAATAAATTAATGCACAGAAATCTGTTGCATTCTTATGTGTAAACAGTGATGTAGAAAAAAATTAACTCTCATTTATGATTATGTTGAAAACACTCAAGAATTCAGACAAAATCTAATAAAGAAGGTGAAAGACCTATTTAGTAAAAATTATTATTTCTGGAAAAAAGAAGACAGGAAATGGAAACATATTCCTTGTTTGTGAATTGAAAGAATCACCATCATTAAAATGACCATCTTTCTGACACTGTGGTAAAGACAACAAAAACAAACATAAATGAATATACATCAAGTAAAAACTTTTTGCACATCTAAAGGAACTCAAGATATGATAAAAAAAAAAAAAAGACATCTTCCTTTCTTTTTCTCTTCTTTTCTTTTTTTCTCTTGTTTGTTTTGTGCCTGTCACTCCTGGCAGGCTCAGGGGACCATATGGTGTACCCAGGTATTGAGCCCTGGTCAGCTACATGAGAGGTGGCAGCACCCACCTGCACACGGTCTGCCCATCCCCCCTTTCTCTTTCTTTTGTCCCAGATAATATTGTTTTTAAATTTCAAAACCTTAGAGTGTTTGTCTTTCCCTCCTTATTTCTCTGACGTTCGTTGTCTTGATAATGAGCAAAACAAACACCAGCTCTGAGTCCTTTATTGCTGTGTTCTGAAGGAGAGTCAGAGACTAGGGAAAGTGACTTCTCATTCTAGCATGGGCACCGTGCTGGGGCTGTAAAACCAGGCAACCATCCATCATTTGTGGTTTGAGTGACAGGCGCTGCGGTATG